AGTCCTGCTCGCGCTTGGGGCTCTCCTCCGAGGCCGAGGAGGCGTCGCCCGACTCGAGGATGAGCTCGCTGTCCAGCTCGGCCTCGCGCTCCTCGCGCAGCAGGCTGTACTGCACTCCCGGGGAGGCGGGCGACGGCGGGGGGCCGCCCCCAGAGCCGAAAGCCGCGAACCCCGCGGGCAGCGCGTCCTCGCCGGCCAGGGGGTCCTCCGACACCAGCTCGATCTCCGAGTCCCCCGACTCGGCGCTGCTCGCCTCGTGGTCCAGGGGCCCGGGCAGGGTGGGCAGCCCCGACCTGGCCTTGGCCTCGGGCCCCCCGGCCGCCGGGCCCCTCGCGGGCTCGAAGGACAGCCCCTGTGCTTCCTGGATGGCAGTCACGAGCTCGTCCTCCGACCCGCCGCCTTTCCCTGGGGACTCGGCAGCAGATGGTTCTGTCGTCCCACACGGGGGGGGGAGCCGGAGCGTGCACACGGACAGACAGATGGACAGAGAGAGAAGAAAGAAAACAGAATTCCATTAGGGAGATGTTTCGCTGTTGGTTGAGAAACATAACTCTCATTAGCACAAAAATAGTCTGTTTTCAGGGCTATGTTGGGAAGGCAGGCCACCTGAACTTAAAAGGCTAATTACTGTTGTGGCCCAATTAATCGGCGCTTTTCATGCCTATCCATCTTCATCTAGCTATTTAAAAAATGACCCAGCATTTCTTAGCAACAGAAGCCCAGTTCGTTTTCTTGTTTCAATGCAGCCAAGATTTTAGAAGTCATTGTTTTAATTCCTGATTCATTCTCAGGAGAGCTTTTCACCTTAAGATTCCATCAGTTAATCTGGCACATAGATCTCTAATTGGGTCCACCCATATTAACAAGCTGAAAGCCAGCCATTATTCAGTGCCCGTAGCTCTTCATGTTTTCTCCTTTCCTAGGACAAAGTTAGGAAATTTGGAGCCTTGGGCGCCACCTGACTTTTGAGCTTAACTTTTCTTCTAAGAACCACTGTTATTCCTCTTTGTTAATGGAAAATACGGTTCGATGGGCCAATGTAAGAAATAGCTTTTTCCTGTCCAACAGGCTGTGCAGATGACCCTAACGCACCATCCTGCTGGGATTCCAACGGTGGCCACCCACTACCATTCTTCATCTCTCTTCCCCTCCTCTTAAAGAAAGGCAGAGCCCACGAGTCACCTCCAGTCCCCTGTGTGAATGCCTGCCTTGAGCATGGTGTTTATCCAGATGGCCTGAAGGCTACACTGGCAATCTTGCTGAGCTTTCCCTCCCTTGGATTAATAGACCTGGGATCACCATGACAACAGTGTTCAGGAGCTTAATTTTTGCCTTGCCATAAAGCAGGGTCTTATTTAAGAATATCTTAACTGTGGTCTTTGGTCTTTCATGTGTGAGAAGAACTGGTTGTCCAAAGCTTTCTCCAAAGTGTTAAAGTCACTGGGGAGATCTAGGGAGATAGAGGAATGGATTACACATGACTAGGTCACCTGTTGCCATAGAATTGTGAGAGAATGAAGAATCCAATACATAAAACATTTCAAGTGTCTCTAATATCCCACAAGGTGGAAGTGATGTTAACCATACTTCGTTCATCTATGATTGTGTGTCTTCTGTGTGTTAGGCCCTCTTCTATAAACTCAGGATATATTAGTGAATGAGATGGATAACAAGGTTCCTGCTCCTATTCTGGTGGAGGGAACACAATACATAAACAACATACACAATAAATAGGTAAAATGTACAATATGTTAGAAGATGGCAGGGCAATGGGAAAAAGTGGAGTAGGGTAAGGAAATAAGGAAAGTAGGGATAGGGTGGGATGAGTTAAACAGGCTGCACTAAGAGGTGACCCATGGTCACTCTTGAAGGAGGCTAGAGGGTGACTCAGGAAGCTGTCTGGAAGAGGGGCACGCCAGGCGGAGGGGACAGCTGGCGCACGGTCTAGAGGTAGGAGCTGTATTGATTTCTAGATATGGAAAGGAGAAGGCTGTGCCTGAGGGCAGGGCTGAAGAGAGAGAGTGAAAGTAGAGGTCACGACAGCAGTGTCACACCTCACCTTTTATTCTCAGTGAAAAAAGAAGTCATTAGCGGGTTTTGAGTAATGATGTGATCTATTTTGAAGTGACTTTAAACAACTACCTCATTACCTCTCACAAATTCATTTTTAAAGAATTTGTTGTATGATCTCCAGCTCTACTTTGCTAACAGTTAGCTCCCTAATAAGCCATGCACATGGTTCTTTGCTATGATCTTAAACAGCATAACTGTGAAAGTTACACCAGAGTTGTTCTCAACGGCGAGCTAGTGCAGGAGGCACGGGAGCACAGCCACCATCCACTAAGGAGCACTCTGCACCTCCTAAGCACTGGAAGCAGCAGTGCTGTCGCTGCTCCATCTGCCAGGATCTGTTGGGTGACAGGTGTGGCGCTTAGACTCAGTGGCAGTAGGTCACTGAGGCTGTCCATTGTTGTGTCCTAGTTTTTTTCTCTTACCCCCCTTGGACTCATTCCCATCTTCCTGTGTCTTGTTCTGTGCTCTGAGAGGCTCATCTCCCATATAAAAAGTGCCCTGGGATTCCCTCCCCTCTGGTTTCTGGCTGTTTCCAGCCAACAGGAAGCACCGAGGGCATGGGGGGGGCATTGAAGGCGTTTGTGGCCACTGCTGCTCTGGCTCTTGGCAGTTTCAGCCATGCTGGTCCCTCCCTGTCCCTGCTGCTTTGGGTCCAGGGCTGCTAATGTTCTCTGGTGCTAAGGCTTCATCATCCTTTGCTGATTCTTTTAACCATCTTTACACATCTGCAAATAGGCCCTTCCTTAAATTCTTAAGTTACAGTCTTTGCATGTGTCACTGGCTTTCTGCCAGACCTTAAACATCATACCCACATGGCTAGAAATGATGTGGCTTGAACTTGAACTCATTTCTCTTCCCTTTGTTTTTCACTATATCATGCCATCCCTGTTTTAAAAGGAAGTGGCACCTGAGATGGGCCAGTTATATTTTGGAGGATGAAAAGGACAGGAAAAGTGACCTGGATAATCACATGCAGAAGAGGAAGCCCCTGCCCCACATCATATGTACAACCTTAGTTCAGATGCATCAATGACGTAAGTAAGAGCTAACAACTGCAGACAAAAACATGGAACTAAACCTTCACGACCTTGAGTTACACCGTTGGTTTTTAGGTATGGCACCAAAACAAACAACAAAGCAGAAACTGATAAACTTGGCTTCATAAGAACTAAGCACTTTTGAATGTGGGGGGGGGTGCGCTACAGCTCAGTGGTACAGGGCTTGCCTAATATGCATGTGAATTAAGCAGCTTTGTTCTTCACAAGATGGAATCAAGAAAATAAAAGCAGCATCCACAGGATTGGGAAAATATCTGCAAACCTCATTCAGATAAAGGACTTATATCTAATAAAAATACCAAAAATTTACAAAAAGATTCAAGCAGTTCTCCAGAGAAAACATGCAAATGACCAAAAAGCACGTGAAAATATGCTTGGCATTATTAATCACCAGGGAAATGCAAATCAAAGCCATAATGAGATAATATTTCACATCTGCTTTAATGGCCACACTCAAAAAGTCAGGTAATTGAGTTAACAAGGATGTGGAGAAATCAAAACCCTCATACACAAGAATGAAAAGGGTATAACTGTTTTGAAAACAATCTGGCAGTTCCTCAAACATTTAAACACTGAGTTCCATATGTCCACACCAAAACTTGTACATCATTGTTCACAATAGTATTCTTCACTATAACTTCCAAAAGTGGAAACAACCTAATGTCCCTCATCCAATGAATGGATAAAGAAAATGTGAAAAATGTGTTCTATCCTTTACAGTGGAATATTATTTGACCATAAAAAGGAATGAAATTGATGTTAAAAACCATTGAAATAAATACTTGAACTGTGTGAGTTACATGGTCTGTGGATCATATCTCTTAGTAAAAAGTAAAAGAAAAAAATGGGAGAAGCCTTCGCTCTGAACCTGCATTTATGGAACTGCCCCACCTATATTATACCATGAGTGAAAAGCAATTTTATTCATGTTAAGCCACCATGATTCAAGGATTTATCTGAATCTGAATGAATATGACATTTGAATTCTGCTCTAACTGGCTGATTCAGTTCACAGGTCATCTCCAGGCCACTTCTGAAGTCTCATCTTCTGTGACTTCTCAGCTGCCATATGTGACATAGTATCCTTCCTCCTCAGCTTCTGCAATGTTGAGGACCACTATAAAGTGGCTCTGAGTAGGATTTAATCTTAATCAATTGGCTTTCCATGTTTACTTGTGAGCTGTCCGAAGCTTAGGCACCTTGTCAGAAGATGGGCAGTGGACTCATAGTAAGCAAACCTCTATGAGGCCTGTACTGGCCTGTGAAGCTGTGATGCCACAAAGGATAAGATAAGGCCACACAGCTGAGGACGTCTGGCTCCAACCCCAATTAACTACAAGGAGACTGCAGCTGCAGGCTCCACACTCCTACAATAAATACCAACCTAAACATAAGGTAGTTCTCCTGATTGACATCATTTACTACTTGGGAAAATTCTCCCAAGGTCCTGCTAGATTCCCATGTTTTCTTGAGTATCCTCCTCTTTTGTTTAAAAACCAAATAAATACAGGCTGCCCAGAAAATATCAAAGCTGTAAGAGAGTGAGACCCTCTTGGAGCCCTGAAATCATTTCAGTTGTCTCATTTATTTAAGCCTTCATCATCCACTCACTTGGGAGATTGGGGCCTGATCAGTCCACAATAACTAAGGGATATTTAACCTGATACTGCAACACTCTCCTCTTTCTCCTCTTCGATTTCTTCCTAACGCACTGATCTCAACCACCTTTAAATCTTTTCCTTTGGGGATTCTGTTTTGTCCTGTTCGTTGAGGTAGTGTCTTGCTATGTGCTCCAGGTGACCTCAAACTCATCATCTGCAGCCCAGCCTAGCTACGAACTCTCCATCCTCCTGCCTCAACTTCTGGAGTGCCGGAGTGCAGGCGTGTAGCACACCCCACCCAGTCTACTCAGCCACCTTGTGAGCAATGCATCACTCGCTTTCCAGGCACTAACTGTTGGCCTCCCCAGAACTCCACCGGGGTTCTCCTCTCACTCCACCCAAGGTGACTTCCTGACTCCCACCCCACTAGTCTCAGTGAGCACTTTCATGCTGATGATTGAAGACTCTGTCCTAGAGAACAGGAAGGAAACAAGACAAAATAGACTGAGCGGTACACAGTTCCGGAGGAACTTAGAGGTAGTATCTGAAGAACTTGCATTTGAATTGGTTTAAATGCAGCCTCAAAAGGTACCCATTACCCACAAAGAGCGGTCTCCTCAGCAAGGACACAGATGTGGAGACGGGGCTGTGTTCAAAGAGGGGCTATTTCAGCAGGGTTCCTGGGGAGCTGTGGGGA